TAAAAAAATGAACAAGTAAATTGCGTCAATTTAATCTTTATTTATGTATAGAAAACAGGTTTAGTGAAATATTATTAACTCATAAAAAATTGAGATAATTTATATAGGTTTTGTAAAAATTTAGATACAAAAAGCATTTGCAAGAAATTGTTAATAATTTCAAAATTTATGAGTTAGACATAAATTATTATTATAGTAATAAACGTTAATTATTTATCATCATAATTATTGTTGCTATAATTAGTTATAGTTTAATATTTTAATTTATCTTTAAATATTAAAATTACAAAAGTTGATATGTTACCAATTAAAATATAATCTTTATCTCCTCAATTTACTTTCACAATTTTTTAATAATTGAGAACGATATTGACAATATATTGAGTGCTCTGTATGCCACTCTTATTTGCTCAAGACACCCAATAACAACTCTGAAAAGCCGCTTTGTGTTGCGGATTAATTCGCTAAATCAGGAAAATGCACATTTTCTGGTGAAGCGAGCGGACAAGGACTCCCATTTACCTGGGCACAAAATAATTTTTTTTACTCTTAAATCGGTAGAAGTTGTATGCACTCCAGACGTCTGAGCACTCTGTCGCCAATCTGACATCGTTTTAATGAGACTGTGACTAAGTGAAAAAAAAAAGAGGGAGAGAGAGAAGAAGAATGAAGGGCGAGAAAAGAGAACGGCGATAAGGAAGCATTATGGAAGCACGACGAGTTGGGCCGAATTAGCGGCGAGCTAATGACAAAAAGTCGAATTAAAATAACAATTGCGCCAGGACGAGAGGACGACGCGAGGGGATTTAAATCCCTTCAGCCTCCTGTCCCTCCAATTCTCCTCCTCCCACTAGGCGGGCGTTCCCTTTTTCATTGGAATATTTTGAAATTGCAAATTTACGTCGCATTCTGTCTCTCTTTCTCCTTCTCTCCGCCCACTCTCATCTTCTCTCTCTCTGTCTCGCGAATTTAAATAAAATACGCACCCCATCGATTTGCAGCTTTCCAGGCGGGCGACGGGAGCGGAAATGCATGCGGGGGTTTCTCTTTATCGTTTTCCGATCGCATCGTATTTGGCGGAACGCGACAACGCGGATCGATGTGTTCCTCGCGTAAATGCAAACGTCACGATAATATTCGCGTCATATTCATTCGCAGATAAGTGGATGTTGCATGGATGGACGACGAAGTTCTAATGGTGAATGATGCAGAAATAATTAAACTGCACGGTTTTTAAATTTATTCATTTGAGCATGAAACAAATTAAATTTAATTTAAAAGTTCGACGATGTGTTATAAACACGAATATACTATATGCTTGCGGCATTATATTGTCTTACCTTTTGTTTTAAGAAAATATCTAGGAATCAATATTTTTTTATACATATTTCTTATCGTGTCTTCCCATCTAATTTATTCTCTAAAGCTTGATTTTTTATTAACTTGTGGTTAAGTTTAATCTGATGTTTTATTTTTAATGGGCTTCATCTATAATGATATCATGAATCATCTATGAAATTAAGCTTAACCATAAGTTAATCAAATAATGAAAAACCTAAATTTCTTAGAGTGAAATTTCACTCCAAAAGAATGAAGTCTCTCCCTCTAAAAGAAAAAGAGAAAATCTACCACTCTTATTCAAGAGTGCAAATATAATATTTTCACTCTTTTTCAATAGTGGCAGTATTTTCATTCTTTTATAGTGAGATTTCACTCCAAGAAATTTAGAGAGCATCTTATTATTTAATTTTTTCTTTTCCATCTCGATTGTAATAAAAATACAACGATCGAATGCACTCGTGCAAATCGGGGCAAGGGGCTGTTAAGATACGTACACGAGGTAAAGTCGATACTTGTCGGCATCTGACGCAGCGGCATGTATCGCGGTGTGTGTTGCTCGATACAATATTATCCACAAAAACACTTGACTGCGGAACGACTTCCAGGGCGAGAATAGCATCTGGTGCTGCAGTTTGCCACGGAAAAGAATTTAACGTAGCGCGCTCTAGACACGTTTTTTCCATCTTACGAGAGAAGGCACGCTCCAGGACCATTTAGAATGCGAATATATGATGCGATGTGTTATCGAGCTTCGCCTTTACTTTGCCAATTTTCCCGTCGCTACGCATACACAGTGTAGTCATTTTGCGAAAATGTTTCGCAGTCTTTATCGTTGATGAAAGAAATTATTAATTATTTTGAATGCGGTAATATATCCATTATATGCTATAATGCTGTTTAATATTATATTGATATTAATATTATATTTGTGCCAGTAATGTCTACTATTGCAGGATATCTATATTCTTTCTTTAACAATTATCGTTTTATCATAAAATTCGAAGAGCTTAAAATTAATAACGTTACATCAAACTTTTACAATAAAATGAATTATTAAAATAATTAATATATTGTACAATAAACATTATCTCTAAAATATATAATGTAATAATATAATATTAGCATTTTTGCGATAACACAATTTTATAATATAAAAATACTAACAATAAAATAATTGTACTATTTAATATAAAAATATAATATAATAATATTAGCCTAACAAAAAATTATTTATTAATGTCACTATATTAATAACCAATAATTTTAATATATTATTTATTTTTCAACTCTTGCAAATCTTTTCTTCTAGAACTTAGAATGTTAAAAATCTAAGACTACTGGAGTGATTATAGGTTGCTTAATCGATCTGGATAACGTCCAAATGTGTTCACGTTGATGATGAAATCAATACGTTGGCGATTATCGGGAACAACTAAAGCTTTCTATATATCGCGGAAGACTCGCACGTTATCAGACTTATTGAATTCCGGACCGGCTTTGTAAGCTCGTCCGGAGACGTTGGATGGGATAAATGCGGTGGCGGCTGTCAGAAAAGTCGGAATACCCCGGGGATGGTGTGCACAGTTCAGAAGAAGCGGCGAGGAGGATGGAGGAGAAACCGAGAGTGATGAGGGGATGGAGAACCGGCAAGATCCAGGAGATGGAAGAAGAGATGAGAGAGACAAGAATAAAGGGGTGAGAAGAGGTGAGAGTTTTGCGGTACGAACAGACAGGGTTAGTCGGTAGGATGAGAGGGTGAAGGAAGGAGGGAGCAGGGAGGATGGATTGCCGGTGCCAGGATTAAGAGCGTCTCCATAGATCATAGAGGATACATTTTGAATAATTTATCCGGGCTATCTGTTTCGCGTGGCGAAGTGAGGGGCGCCAAAGACGATGTCAAGGTTGCGATAAGATTGAGTTTACTTCCAATCACGGGAAAATTGCGATCACCGACTCGGAACGCATTTTTTCGCAATAGGGGTGGTGCAGATTGGTAGCGAGATTGAGAAGAAATGATCTGTGGAGTTTCCTGTACGATTAAAGATATCGGGACTTACAGAAAATACGACTTTGAAGGGCGTTACGTAATCTTGATAGGAAGCAGGAAAATCAATTTATCGAGAATTACTCTAGTATTATCCTAAAGATATAATCTATTGCATTTTTTACGAATATATATAGAAATATAAAAAATTAAAATATAAACAAATAAAATTTTTTTAATGTAAATATTGAGATTTCCTGAATATTTTATTAATTATCTCTTGTTTCAATATTTATTAAAATGTATTTATAAAAGTAAATTTATGAATATGCATTAATATTATTATTTATTATGAATATTGAAATTTTTGTGACCAAGAATATATTACAATTTTTTACAGATACTTTATACACATTTACTTCCATTTTGTAAATCTACCTTCGAAAATTCAACATTTGACACACTGTACAAATTCACATTCGTAGTTAAAAAAATTATTTACATATTTCGTCCTTTTAGGATAATTTTACCTAAAAAGGAAAAAGTGCTGTTTCAAAAGTTCAGAATATATTATTTTATACTGAGAAATGTAATTTTTGCGTAACAGCATATCTCTTTTAAAATTATGATATTTTTACTTTATGTAAAATTTTCTGAGAATGGTTAAAAAATTTAAATATTTTTTTCCTATATTCATCTATCTCTTTTATTAGACATCGGATTCACATTCATTCACGCTGTTATTAGCATGACACCTCGCGAATTAAACGCGAACACAAACTGAAACTTAAAGATCGGTATGAGGCAGATGAGAGACGGAGATAAGATTTCTAAAGTGCTCTCTCGAGACAACGATTTTTGTTTACAATTTTGCAGCGCTCTGTAATGATATCGTACACATCTTTTGTCCGCTTTTATTGTCGTTTCATCTGTATTCTCATCAGAGAGAGAAAGATCGAGAATAAAATACGAGCATTACGAACAACGGTTCTCCAGCCTCCATCTGAAGAAACCGCGAAGCTCTTGGCACTCTTATCTTAATTCGAAAACTTTAGCGAATAGCGACTCTGTTTAATGAGCTTCGTTAGTTGTGATCTTCCATAAAATATATCCCTTTCATACTGCATTTCCTTTTTCAAATAAAGACAATTTTCCTGTAAAATAAATAGAAGACGATTTTCTTACAATTGCATTATAATTGATTATATATATATATATATATATACCTGTATTAATATCGAGATTGATTCTATTTTCTAAGAACACACATTAGTTAAGAAAAAGTCAAAACGACTTTATTTTTAAATTCAAAGTGGTGATTTTTGTATACAAAATTTGACTGTTTATTGATGTTAAGAATCAAAATAAAGTCATTTTGATTTTTTGTTGATTTTTAATTGTGTGTTCCTTGGGAGAGATCAAATTATTTATGCAAGACCGAGAATTGGAAGTCATAAATTTCGTATATTAATTGGAGTTAAATTTCTCCTGTTAAAAGCTGCTTGAAACTTTAGAGATTACGCCAAAAGGGCACTTCTAATTATGTCACGCCCAAGGTCTTCGCGCGTTACGATCCGCCGTTGACAAAAGGAGGCCAAAGGGGGGAGATTGTAAGATCTGAAGGAGAGGGGATCTTCGGCTTGCTTCACAGCAGTTACGCCCAATGAATGACGTCAGGTGCGTACGTGCAGTACGGTGGAACGTGGAACACGCGCGTTATTCGTTCGCTCCAAAAAGAAACCGAAAGAGCGACGTAACGATGATGCGCAACGATATCACGATTGTGTTGTGCGTGTTGTTGTTGTTCGTCACAACAGGTGAGACTTTCCAAACGAAGATCCAAGAAAGTAAACCGAAAGAAAAATGTGTCTAAAGTATCTTGATGAATCTACCTGCGATCGCCATTTTGAAATCAAATCTGTGTTTCATTCTTTGTATTGTTTACGGATGGGCGTGAAAATTTTTCAACGATTGAATGAGGGAATCTTTAATTATTTTAATCAACTAAACCCGACTTGTGCGAGAATACTCAAATATCATATTTTTTTTTCCTAAAGGATATATTTTATAGTTCTTATTAAAAGTAGAAACGGAATAACAACAAAGAAAATTTAATATTTCTTTGCAAAACTATGGAAAAGAGATTAACAATGATAATATAAATATATTTTCTGTATATTAATTTTTTTTAGGTTAGGAACTGAGGTCCATCCCATCAATTACTCCAGTCATAATACTCCAAATACGACTACTTTACTGCGATCTAATTCTTCAGATTAGTCATCGAGATTCTGTTTCAATTACTCTAATTAAATACGTCAGGTCAACTCGAATATATGATTAATGCTGTTATGTTATTTTGGAATGTGCAGGTAGTAAAGCGATACGCTGTTACCAGTGCAGCTCCGACACTGATCCAGACAAGGAAGACCTTTGTGGAGCCTACACAAAATTCGACAAAGAGAGGAATGTACCTATCGAGTGTAACAGCGAGGAATCACATATGCCTGGCACATTTTGTGTCAAGTACACTGAGCAGAGCCCACGTGGTTTCATTTGTAAGTATATTTATTGAAATAATATTCAGTATTATGTATCTATGAATAAAAAATGTCTAAAAAGAATATTATTATATTAACATGATTTATTCTTATTTTCTATAACGAAAATATAATTAGAATTACTTTTTTTTAATTGTATCATTTAGTTGTATTTATCATTGTCGATGAATCCAAAATATTCCAATTTTTAATATATCTATTTACACACACACACACATTTTATGTATTTATTTAATGAAAAGTTTGTTATAATTAGAAAAAGATAAGACCTATTTTTTGTGATTAGATACATTATGTTTTTAAAGATTTAAATTAACTAAATTAAGTTCTTCAAAATTTGTGCTATCTAAAGAAGTTTATAGAATTACAAAGAATTAAAATGTTTAGAATTATAAAAATATTTCTTTATACAATTTATGCAGAAATTATAGTATATATATATATATCTTATAAGTATATATATATATATACTTATGAGAAAGATATATTATTTTGTACTAAACTTTATTATCTTATAAGTGATAGATCGATATATCATATTTAATATCCACAAATTCATTTCCGGATTGAAAGAAATCTCACGTTAGGAATATAACTTTTAATCTAATCTTGTACGATAAAATTACGCAAAAATAAAAAATGCGCTTTATAGAAAGTCATGACCGAATGTATTAGCTGATATGCGTATTTACAGCATCCGAATTCCGAGCTATACGAGAAGTACGTAATTAATTAATTGACAATGTTTTAGGGGATGGTAGGTGGCGACAGGTGATTCGACGATGCGGTTCTATCTCCAGTACCGGGGTCACAGGGGTCTGTAACTGGGGTGTTCATGAGAACGGCGTTTACTGGCAAGAATGTTTCTGCTCTGAGGATGCCTGCAACGCAGCATCCAATCTGATGTCCCTTACCACGCTGTTCCTCACGGCATGTTGTGCCATCGTTACGCTATCTTGTTTCAAGTGAAAAAAAAGTTTACTAATTTTTTAAGTATTTTCGAAATATGAAAACGGTAAGATAAATATTGGACCAAAAAGGATCAATATTAGAGCTTTTGTTATAGGAAATGAGAAGCTTAGATTAACATGCGCGCATAAAGAATGGCACAGATGTTTTTTTAAAGAATTTTGGAGTTGGTTTTCTTTCTTAGCAAAGTTTTAATTAGATATCATAAATATTTTCCATGTCTCTGTGTTTAGTATTCAAAATTCAATATGTATTCAAAATTTATTAAAATAATTAAAAAGTGAAAAAATTTATGCTATGCATATATTTTTAAAAAATTTTGTTCTCTAAAATTTGTAATATTAAATACACAATTTTTATACATAGATAATCGTTCAACCGTCGTTAGAAAAAAATCAACTCCGAAGTTGCCAAAGAATATACTTTGGTTCCGGTTTAAGGAGCCAGCTTGTAAATACATTAAATTATATATCTGTCCATATGCTGTGCGTTAAAAGCAGATCTCCGGAATTCTCATGTAAATAGTCTTACAATAAGATATATGTATATCTATCTATCCGTCCATTTAGCATTGTTAAGAAATGAATTATTATTCACTGAAACTCCAATTAAGCTATAAAACAATTATATAATTATCTAAATTTAATTTTAAAAAGGACTAATTAGAAGCTAATTAAGTTTTAAGACGATGGATCTGTTTATTACATCTCAAAATAGGTGTGAAATAAGTCTAAAATATTCAGAACAATAATGAGACAAATCTGTTGTTTTTAGTATCTGATTGTCTCAATGGGATAACATATATTTATTTCCGAAAAATTAAAAAATGTTTTAAATTTTATTAAAATAAATGTTATTATAAAAGTGCCTTTTTTTATACAAAGGTAGTATTCAATCGCTTTCGGTAATCTATTTAGAATAGAACGTCATTTATACAACGTCAATTATACAAAATACTGACTTTAAAACAACAACGAATCAAATTGCATGTATTTTACATCAATATTATAGAAAATTATTTCATTAATTAAAATCTTTGAAGAATGTATAATTTCGATTGAGATCGAAAATTTTTAATATTGCGATTTTCTACTATGCGACTTAATAATTTCTATTAGATAAATAAAGAATCTCACATGTTGCTTAATACATCGCCTAAAAACTTGCGATTCGTTTATATCGCAGCCTTTTATAGTTTTAATGTATTTTATATTTTTCTATGTATATGCATGTATTATGTGATTAAAAAGGAACAGATTTACTGTTTAATTGTATACAACTTATTATATATAAATAAATAAAAAAGAAACACGTAAATAATTCTACATGTTAAGTTAAACATATATTTTTATAATAAAACTTATAAAACCTTCATTAGATGAAAGTAAAAAACTGAAGTAAACAAAGAAAAATATCCTCAATATTTAAAATGTATTTAATTAATAAGAAAACTCAGGCCCACATTTTTGCAACTTTGAACGCGTTGCTTGGAGCTTTACATTTCATTTCGTTCTTTTTTCCCTCTCGCAGATCCTTTTCGCAGCTTTTTGTGCGACCGTGAATCTTTGAGAAGCCATTAGATGTGCTCGTCTACGTCGCATGCGGTAACATTAACGGAGCGGAAAAACGCGGTGAAAATGAAACCTACTTTTGTCTCTCGACTTGACTGACTTTTTGCGGCGGTCCTAAGGAGAAAGCACGCCTCGCAAGCTGGGAGATTAATGTTTTCCGCGGCAGCGCTGATCGCATCTGCGCGAAATTCTCATTTGCTAACTGTTTACGCCTGCTTAAGTACAACTTACGCTATTTCAGCCGCGTTTAACGCCATGACTGATTAAACTACCCTTTCTTATCTAGATTTATGGCGTGTGCTTATCTGATGCTTATATTTTTATATGCTTTTATCTTACTTAACTTACAGTCTCATAATTAATGATTTTTAAAGAATATTTCTTCAAAAATCAGAGTATTTTTAAAAATTCAAATATTTTCGAAATTAAAGAAATTAAATAATTAATTACTGTATATTACATGTAAAATTATATTTTCATAGTCAGACCAATAAAAATTAATCTATTTCTATAATATAAAATTAATAAGTTTAAAAAGTATAAATTAAAATTTGTTAGACTTTTGCCAATTTGCATAAACTATTATTTTTGTAAATCATCATATTTAATTCTTCTTTATTTTACATCTCTCAATAAAACTAACAGTAACATAACATCAATGTTCACACTCAACAATATAAATGTAGTATAACACAAGTGTTACACAACAGTTACATTATTGAGCGTGAAATTATAACATTAATGTTATGTTACTGTTAGTTGATGTTTATTGAGCTATGATGTTGATTGTTAAAAGAAAGTTTGAAACGTTTGACATAACAGCATGAAATTTAAATTTTCTTGTTTAAAAAGATGATTGATATGTATAATATCTATAAATAAAAAAGGTTTCTTTTCGTGATATTTAAACAAAGCACATCGAGGACACGCCGTACATTATCCATCACATGTCACCGACACACCCGTTAAACACGCATTGTATGTAAATAAACGGTGGTTCTCAAACCGAACTTTTGCGAGAAAGGGTTGCGCCCGCTTAAATCCTCAGACTCAATGCGGATGCGACCCACTTCCGGTATCAAGCATGAACCTGAGGACACTTCTGAACGTATATACATCACCCCGTAATGCCGGAAATTCGTCGGTTGCGAGTTAATTACGTCACGCGAGACTATTAATGCCTCAACAGATCCGACGTATGCGTTGTATGTACAACAATGGTCTCGGCTATTTAGGCCCTTCTCATACATTACGTCACCACGTGCCAACCCTCGTTACTCGAGGCGTCGTACGATAATTAAGCTCGTCGCTGCCGGAGCGTTAAAGCAACAACATTGCTGGTGGTTAATAATATTTTGGAAAGGTCTTATCACGCACCGATCCTTTTCCACTCCTAATATAACACCGGAAGGTTTCCACGGAGGTTTACACCGAAGAACGATGTTTGCCTTTCAGAATGAACAACTTAGATTGTACCGGGTGTCTTGCAATCAACGCGCCGTAGTCTATTGTTAGATATCAGAATTATTGACTAATATTTCAGACGAAAATTGTTGAAGAATTAAGACAAATGAGGAATTTTTTTTATAAATGAAATTTTAAATATAATTATTGATATTTTCCAAGTTGATATTAAATAGATTCTGTTATGGAATTTGTATATATATATGCTAAGATAATTTATACTAAAAATAAAAAAAATAGTAAATAAAAGTATTTCTTATAATGCTCCGGAATCTTTAATAATGCGGAATTTCTTGATTGAATACAAATAATAATTTGTAAGTTAGGATTAATAATTTTACGGCAAACCAAAACTAAATTTAAAATATACCACACTCTCTCAAGAAAACTTGAATTCCTCTGTATCATTAGAGACGCAGAAGATTGTGAGTTTTGTGGAGAAGTGCTGTATATTAGTGATCTTCACGATCGAGCGCTTTATTTTCCACGGTACGGGTGGCTCAATAGCTTTTAGTTGTTATTACATCAAGGCATACTTAATTAGCCGTCACAAGGGTGGAAAGTGCACAAACCGCCTAACGACCTTTCTTATTTTATAACGCGTGAGTTAGCCCCCCAACTTTACAAAAAATTAACTTTCTATAGCTCGTGCTTACAGTTTGCACATTTTGAATTTTTGTGTTTGCACACTTCAGGTGGTATTCATAATCGATTCTTATATTCAAAACCGTCTAAGCATAGTCTTGAGATGTCACGAATTAATCAGAGGACCGTATTATAAATGTGACTGATTTCTCATTGCTAGATTGAATCTTGTCAAGTGTTGAGTCTTGAAGATATCTCACATCTTTTGAAAATACTGTTGAAGGTGACAGTAATTTCATTTGTATAGTATCACTTACCAAATTACGAAAAATCTCAAATTTGCAATGTACTAAAAGTGATATATTGATAGTCTCAGCCTTAAATTCTAATGTAGGGAGTTCAATTAACAATGTCTTATTCGATATACGACCCATAATTGACTTTGATGATAAAACTGTATGAAGCGGGTATTTTATAGTAGTAACACATAAACCGTGAAATGCTTCATCGGTAAGAATATAAAATCTTACTATACTTGAAAACTGATTAATTCCATGTGAAACATTTACTTCAATTGTGTATTGATCGCTTTCTGAAAATGATGGAGAAGAAAACGTATCATATATCTTACAAAGATGTGTAAATTGTTCAATTTTCCATGTGTAATCTAATGTAGTGGACTTGATCTGTTTTTTAGAAGAATAGCTTTTAATATATGATGATAAGCATGATGGTGGTCTGTTTCTTTTCTGCGAGAACTTCAATACAAGTATCCTCAACTTTTTGTTGTAAAGATACAAAGCAAAACAAAGGGAACCTATTTCTTAAAAATATTTCAACTAAATAAATCATTTCGCTTTCTCTCTTCAACGGCTAAATATATATTTATTTCATTTTAAATACAAAAATTTTGAGGAATTTTGTAATACAAACAAACTTTAATATCTATAAATATACTTAATAATGCTTAATAATCAGGGTTCGGTAAGTTAACTTTTTTTTTTAACTAAGTTAAGTTATAAAATTAACAGCCTTGAAAATTTAATTAAAATACAAGTTAATCCATAATGAAATTAATTGAATTAAAAATTAAGTTAATAAAAAAAGTAATTAAAAAGTTAAAAGTTAAATTTGATCCGAACAACCAAAAAAAAGAAAGAAATAGTTTGACCATTGTGTTGTACATAATTTTTCGTATTTTTCCTTCCTCGCAGCATATTTATTAAAGAATCTAATTATTTTTGTTCACAAGTAACGATTATACAATATAAAATTACTAAATTATATTCGCATCGTGTCTGAGGATTAACTTAAAAGAAATCAAATTAAAAGTTAATAGTTACCGATAAAATGTAACTAAATTAAGTTAATACTCAATTTTTCGACAACGAACACGCAGACAACACTAAGGGCCACTTTTACTAACTTCGATTAATTTAATCGACCTATTAGTCCATTGGAATTGACCAATCGCATTTGTCACTTTGTTTGACGACAGATGGCGATTGATGACCAATTCCAATGGACTAATCGGTCGATTAAGTTAATCGGAGTTGGTAAAATCGGAGTTGGCCCTTAATTCACAATATTTAAAAGAATAGAAGATATTTGTTAAAATAACAAAAAAATTTTAATAACAGCGCGAATATATAAAAATATATGAAAATCTATTGCAATTTCTTTTTTGGCAATAGGCACAAGTACTGAATCACAGAAACTCTCGAATCACAATTGATTCGATTTTATGCCCAGATAGGTGAAATTTATCTGATTAAGCAATCGATGTATTTCTTGATGTTCTAATATAAAATGTAATAAAATTTTATTACATTTTATTAAATATTAAAAAAATGAGATTTGAATCATACATAAATTTTTATTTCCTAATTAGCACAATTTTTAATGTTATTTTTATTTAAAAAATAAGTTTAAATATAAATGTGCAATTAAAACACGTTTATCTCATTTTTTTAAGAAGCATATACACTTAGCACATTTTTTGAAAATGTGATTTTTTTCGAGAGATAAGATTTATATTGAATCTTTAAAATTTACATTAGATCTAATCATCGTTCGCTTTATTATACTCTTTTAATGGCTATATGTGTGTATATTTGCTGCCACTGCCGAATCGAGCAATGAGCAATGTTGTCACAAAAGCTGAGATCAATCATCTCCAATTTAGGACAATTCACGAAAATTGCGTGACATATCTCAGCTGTCAGGGATAACGTGCCTAACAAATCTAACTGTTTTAAATTTTTACACAATGTCAGTGCTCTTAGATCACGTTCAGTGAGGCCTCTAACAGAGATCAGGAAGACTTTTTCTAAGTATTGACAGGAGGAAAACAATCTACGGAAGCTATCACCATGACCAGTTGTACTGCCACTGTAAATAAAAAAAATAATATTGTTTAATCGTAAACAGAAGGACAACACAATTATTTCAAGATATAAGCGAAACAAACGTATCAATTTTGACGTATATGATAATTTGTATGTTTTGAAAAAAACTAGGATAATGTGTAGATCCGTATGAGAACAATAGACTTAGGGTGCCGTCCCATTAAGCACGGATCGGCATGATAGATCGGATTTCTCACTAGAATTGAGCATTCCATTGCAGTTCCGTTCCGTGCTTAATGGAATGGTAGGCACCTTTATTAGTTGATCTCAGGTTTGATTCATCATTCCATAAACAAATGAGGAATACGTATTCTGCAAAAAGTGCGACAGAACACATGTATTTTCAAAGAAAGTGTGACACAACACATACCACCAACCAAAATCCACTTCTCGTAGATTTTTGCAGTCAGCAAGGGCATCAATACCTTGCGATGTAAGAGTGTGCGTTTTCCATAAATCTATACTTTCCAAATCTGGACAGGAATTTCTTAATTCCATTGCAACTTCATCTACATTCAGACTCTTGTCGGTGCCTCCTATACGTAAATGACGCATCCGTATATTTCTTCGCAGTATCTTGCAAAGAGTTTGAGTGTTTATATATGTCCTGTAAAGATCCAAATACTCCAAGAACTCCAAATTTTCGAGACATGAGAATCCCTTGTCCCTTATCAAGTCACAATTACGTAGACCTAATTCTAAGAAAAATATATATGTATTGATTATACAATTTGCTCACGATTATAATAATTATTTGTATATATACCTTTCAAATTTTTGCATATTCTCGAAATTTTAAATATGGCGACGTTGTCGATACATAAGCAGCAATTTAATCGTAAGTGCGTTAAGAGACTACCACAAGTAACAAGAAATTTTTCAAGATCTGGGACAGAAAATTTGTCACACCATGAAAGATCCAACCGTTGTAAATATTTACATCTAGGTGCTAAGTAATACAATGCCTTTGTATTAATAATATACCAATACGGTTTTAAGTTTAAACTTGTATAAAGCAAATGGTCCTGTGCTAAATTATTGAAATGTTTATTCACTCTGCTCACACGGCATAATGACTTTAAGTCCAAGTTTTTTAATATTCTCATTATTATTTCATCCTACAAGATAAAATATGAAATTTTAATAAATGGAATAACAGTAAATATTATGCGTAACAAAGACTTTTTAGTATACATTACAGGAAGCGCAGAAAAACTATAACGTGATGGCTTCTTGGATTCATCTGAAGAGTGTCCGACATCTTTCATAAACTTTGAAAGTTCTTCTGATAAAAAGCGTTGCATACTATTAGATCCCTCTTTAAGAGGTGGTACATAATAATAAAGAGATCCTAGCTGAGATGCTAGCTTACTGTCGTGAAAATTCGCTACTACATCGCTACAAATAACATTGGTACAAACTTATTTTCACTCATCAAAAAAAGAATAAATCTTACTTAATATTGTCAATTGTAATACCTTTTGCACATAATGCAATGTTCAACCAATGTCTCCTTAAGGTGGCTTATATCCAAGTGTGCATTTAGATAACGTGGTGTTAAATTATGGATATCCTCAGGGCAAGGAATTTCAAGCAGCAAGTCACAATTAATGCTTATTAACAGATTAGTTAAACTCTGATTGTGTGCTGGATCTTTAGGGAAGATCAATTCTGATGTTCCAATAAGCATCACAGCATCTATCTCGGTGTAATAGTTCAATAAACTGTGGTTAAATTCTAATCTGAGTATTTTGGTTTTAAAGTCACACAATTGTAAAGGCGGAGAAAATATCCGTGATATCGGAGGAACAATCTGAGGCGGTCCATTCCACAGTAGAAACCATCGACCTTTTAAATCTTGAGCCCAAATTCGAATTACGCTCCCAGGATTATATACTTCGTATATAGAAACTCTTACTGGATATACAGCTTCATGATACTCAATATCTTTAATATAGAAAATACAATTATAATCTCTCTTCTCAATAGAAACGTATCTTTTTTAACAATCTCTTATTTATTAATTCAAATATTACATACCAATATAATCTTGACTCACAACACCTGTATTATTCTGTGGCATATAATCAATTGATCTCGAAGGTGCTTTGTCCCACCATGGTCCATAAGTCCTCTATATGAAAAAGTCAGAAAAAAATGTCAAATACTATAAAACTTTGTAGCATTAAAATAGATTGCTATTATTGGAACGATATGTGACTCTGGATATGAATAATTAAGTAATTGATGGATCTCCTACATTTATTCCAATCCTTATTCCATGGCTGTTTCAAAATTCACTGCCAATGCTAAAAATCTACAGTTTACACAACATGCATTATAGATTTCCAGCACTTGCAATGAATTTTGAAACACAGCTCATACATCTATTATTATCAGTTTTACGGGAGGTTAATTGAAGAGTATTATAGAAAAATTATTAAAAGAATAAGGCCTTATTAAAAAAATAAGGCCGATTGTACCAATGTTTAATTTTAAATAAGACTTAAAGCTTTCTTCCTTTCTGTTTCTCTATTGACTTTAAAAAAAAAAAGATTTTTAAGTTTTGCTTAAAGTCAGAATAATGTTGGTGCAATCGGGCTTAAAAGATAATCATTTGGAAATGCAGAAAAGTTTGTGATTGCTTTTCAGTTTTTAGAATAATAATAAGTGATGTAAGGAAATATGCATACCATGGCAAATGTTTGTGCAAAATCTCCATAATTCGGAAATTGACTAAATGGTCCAATTAAGTTAGTAGCAGCATAAGATATGCTAGAATTACCGCCATACTGAGAACTAAAGCTGCGAACATTCTTCACAAATTGTTGAACGAAGTCAACATAATTTTCCTTGCCTATGGGTATTCTTTCGACATGTTGACTATCATTGTCACTATATAAAGGAGGATGAGGGAGAGATAACATATTTTTGTACTGAAAGAAAATAAGATATAGAAAATATGTGCTTTTTAAGTACACGTTAAATTACTGTATTTTAATTATATGTATAATTATACTCTATATATAAAAATTAAGATAGATCTGTCATCAGATTCCTAACTCTTTATATCAAGCCAATATCAAGTATGTATAATGGAAAGGTCGATTAATTTCATCGAAACTTACAAAATTGTAACTAAATGGCTATACATGTTACATGCACAATACCTGCGAATGAATTAAAGTCAATTTCTTCTCACACAATCAGTACACAGCATCTGATAGTATTCTATTCACTTCTACTAAAAAAAAAACAAAAAAAAACAAAAAAGTCAAAAGTTAACTAAGATGATAACAGAGAGAATAAAAATACAACTAAATACAATACTAACTACAAAATAAAAAAAAAACAATGAATTAATCAAAGGCTATGGAGTAACGAGACATAATTCAGATAGTGCATAGTAGCAAACAGATAAAGAATAGTATAATAATTTCTTATCAAGTACAAGGAAAACAATTGCTTCTTCTCTTATTCACACATACTACTTATAAAAAATAATGTTCGTTAATATAATTTTAATGACTGAATGTGGTGTGAATACATACAAAATATATGAAAAGATGTTCCATGGGTTTATTCTATTTTTTTTTTGCTGTGTATCGCCGGATGATAATAAAAGAGTGCTTCCAGCCTGTCCTTTCAGGGGTTTATTCCATGTTTCATCAGAGAGAAACGGGAGAGTAGATATCCCTTTTTCCTCGTATCCTCGTAGGGTAATAGGCGATTTTTAGCGACCGTTTGTACCAAAGTTATTATTGGTAGATGGTAGAGGTGGAACTTTATATTTTGATAAACCTGTACATACAATTATTATGCTAAAACTGTTGGTTTTTTTTTTATACGTACGAATATTCGATGCTTTTTTAAAAATAATTTCTTACTCTAACGTAATATATAATAGAAGAGACAGAGAAAATAAGATACAAATTAACCAAGTCAGTCTCGCCTCTAGCACTAATGACCAAACCAGACCAAACACGCAAGAACGTTCCAATATAGTTTGGTAATTGGTATATTTTGGTCACATATATTGTGCTTTGGTTGCTATACCTGAATCACACCAAAAATCGCCTAATGTCCACGTCTGTATGGTTCTCTTCCAGCTATTACGTGGGTGGGAGATAGTTTCACTGGATTTCACACACAGAGTTTATACTGTCTTCTTCTTCTAATTTCCCCTTTATTGGTTTTTTGACTCAAATTTGTCACAATACTTATGTAAAATAGATCCTAGATTCTTTTGATAGCCTCGGGGAGCAGAGGCCTCAGTTTGATTGTAACCTTATTCTAGATAGTATGTTATTCTAGAGCAATGTTACCAGATGAGAGCCGCGCAACTCCACGCACACAAAAGCCGAGCAACGTACGTGTGCTTCGGTTACCTTCGGGCGCAGTAGGAGCAACTCCCTTTCGCTATATGATTCTCGCTCGCCCAATAGCGTCTCCGTTTCATTTTATCACAAACTGATAGTGCTATATACATAGGTCGTCTGAAAAGTTTTGAGCCTCAACATGAAGATGGCATCACTCGTCAAAACAATTTTGGTACTATGGCTGCGTTTCATTATTCACTGTCAGTACTGGCAGCATTGCACATGCCGTTCCAAAATATATCGCAGTAAACTTCCAATATACTTTTGCGTTTATATGACGTCATAAATTTTTGCGTCACTTCCTATTTCTATTGCTGCGACTGGCGAGGTCAGGTAATCGCAGTAAAAAAATAGCGAAATTCATGCCTGGTTTATGCTTCGGTCTTAACTCTAAAATCCTAAAATTCAGCCAATAGGGCTGCCAGTTTTAACTGGTTCTAACTGAAATCTGTATTCCATTGGCTAAATTTTAGGATTTTAGAATTAAGACCGAAGCATAAACCAGGCATCAACGAAATAGGAAATCAGGAAAAAATTTGTTTTTTTAGAATAATGTCAAAAAGTTATGACATATTAATATGACATATTAATGAATAAAGTAGATGCAGAAAAAGCACGCAAAGATATGAATATAATTAATAATTCCAAATTTTATCAAAATTTAAAAAATTATTTATTTCTACAGTCCTACCAAGTACTACTAAATCCGTTTCGTGCAATGTTGTAACGTCATAAAAGTACTATTAATAATTTCAAAACGCTTCTGCAGTACTACTTTATGACGTCATATTGTCAGTACTGACAGTGAATAACGAAACGCAGCCCTGGTAACACTGTTCTAGAGATCTTGTCAATGTTTTGTTTCTACAAAGCAGAAAGACTCCATATACTGTCAACTTGTCAAGTAATGTCAAGTAATCAACAGTTGCGCGTGCGCGTGCAGAGATCAGCACGTCAGCAGGGGCACGCATGCGTTGGTAAATTCCACGATCTGGGGTTACTGCATGCGGCCGTGGGTCCGGTGTACCCCTGACCCGAAGGTCTGCTGGTAAACACAAGCTTTGAGACATAAAACGGTCCCCAGTGACGATATATCAATCCTATCGTTACATTGTAATATTAGGTGTATATAATTAGGCTCACAATGGTAAGAATCCGTTTTCGATGCCTCGTCCGGTCGACGAGATCGGCTAACCTGCAAGTCTATTCACGATCTTTTCCCGTGTTGTAGGACGTATTTTTAATGATCAGGCGAAAAAAATTGACGATATTTACCGATGCAAAGGATGATACTACGGTCCTCGAGCTCAAGAAGATGATTGAAGGTAAGGCATTCGTGTCACAAGTACAGTGACAGCATCTTTTTTTCTTGACATGTCGCTCGGCCATTCACAATTGGACGATTGTTACTTCAGTAGAGCGATTTGCGATTCACTGAATAAATGTAGGATTAGGCTTAATCATAGTATAGACAGAATAAATTGCATTAATAATGAATGGAATAATTTTATATATGTATATCATTTATGTCAAATTTATGAAAAATATTTTAATTAATATTTATCCAAAACATCCCTTCAAGCTCCTACTTCGATGAAATTATGTTCATTATTAATTTATGAACATTAATAGTTGAAAGTTTTGTAAAAAATAAAATCATTATTTTTATATTAGAGTTAATGCTCACTTTCTTTTTTTATAGGTATAATGAAAGTACCACCGGCAAATCAACAACTATTTAACAAGGACAATCTTCTAATGTCAGACAACAAGACTTTACAAGATTATGGGCTGACATCGTCAACTGCAAAAGCACAATGTCCTGCATTAGTCGGTTTAGCACTGCGTCAGCCAGACGGCCAGTTTGAACCTCTCGAAATGACACCATTCTCATTACCACCAGATCTCCCTGATGTTATGAAGTCCCAGGAAAATAATGGCCAAGAGCAGTCTCCTTGAAATGACGCAGATGATGTTACGTCAATCGACGATGAAGTTTTGTGTTCTACGCAATTTAGTAATCGTCAGGGCAGCTCTGAATGATAAAAAGGGTTAAAAGGAAATCTTATGTACCAAGTATGTGAATACTAGAATGTGAATATGGTAACGAACACCGAATATACGAAATACGAATATTAAATATATGCAATTTTACAAAAGTATTCAGAGCTGCAAAATTTTTCAATATTCAATTTAATGAGGATGCTATATAGTCACGCGATCGTCAGTCTTGTAAAGACAGTGATGAGTACTAATTTGTACTTGATTATTAGACTGAAAGTGATAATAAAAGTAAAAAAATTTCTGCTCACTATTGTGCATCAAACCAAATTTATATAGCTATAAAATTATTAACATAAGTGTTTTGTTATGGTCAAAGTGCGAAATATGAATACCTCAGCTTACATTTAAGTTACAGGTATAGCTTAATTATTTTAAAATACTTTTTTAAAAATATCTTCAAATTTAATATCTTGTCTTTTTCTCTCTGCTCACTTTCACTTCTGTATACGTATTCCTTGTACCACAAGGAAAATCAAATGCAATGTTTTGTAAAATAAGTATTACATTTTTATTTAACATGTATGACTCTAATGGATGTCTAAATTACAAATTTGGTAATTACGGCGTATTGGCATATAAGACAGACTGGATCTGATCTGACACAATACACAATCATAAATGTAAAATATAATGCTCTAACTAATGATCTTTAGTTCTATAATATTGTATCCTATTAATTATTGTCTAACTTAATACAGTTTTATAACTGATGGCAACACCATTAACTATATGCTATGATAAGACTTGTAACAATACACAAGTAATGTCATGCTACATAATAGTGAACAAAAATATATTGTACATGATTACATATCTTTATTTAATATCTTAAAAAATCCTGTAGCATATATTTATCTATCATTCATGTACACATAAAATTTTTTTCTAATAGAAAAAATGCATTGCATGCTAAATCGGGTAATTAAATTTAGTAATAAAATAAGACCATTGTTAACTACTTAAGTTCTTATATTTGCTAAGCATTTCCATTACAAAATCCCTATAAATATCTTTTTTACTCGGGACATAATGTCCACCTTCGTGCCGTACCTCTTTCTTATTTAAAAATAGATAACTGATTTGCTCTGCCATTACTACAACAAAGGATTACATTAGAATTGATGAAGCATTGGATGTGATTTGCTTTCAATATTACTAATTATATTTAATAATATTAAACTTATCATAATATCAAATTATTCATCATACCTGTTGGAATGACTTGATCGTTCTCTCCATAAATATGCAAGGAAGGCATATCGATTTCTTCATCATAATACTTTGTGTGAGGTGCACACAGTGATTTAAATCCAGATATCACAATAACAAAGTCAAACTCAATTTGTAATACTACAAGAAGATAACAATATTATATATTTATTTTATATAAGCATATACATGTGTGTATCACAATATATGTATTATTTTTAAACTCACTTTTCTTTTTTTTCATAGCACATAGTATACTGACAAAAGCTGCTCCCTGTGAGAAACCCAATATTCCATCGAAAGGACCTTGTTCTGAGAATACTTTCTTGATCACAGCTACACTGTCATTAAATCCTACACACAAATCACTACGCACTGTAGCTTTAAATACATGATCCTCTGTATTAAACCACCATCCATATCCTATAATTCATACATAGCAATATCGTTAGTGCTCATTAAGTTATGATGCAATTTCTTGACAGGATAAGAAATTTTGTATTTTTTTTTACTGATATTTCTCTCACACCATTTTCATCGGTATCCTCTTGACCAGTTTTATTTTGGGGTGGAACTTTATGTGGTGCTCTTATAAACGTGAAATCTATTTCTTTCTTAAATCCTTTTCTCAACGATCCTAATTTAGCGCTAAAGATCACATCTGATTGCATATATCCATGAAGTGCCAATATCTAAGAGGAATATATTATATCATAGTATATATACTATACAATAATTTATTAACATTTTTACGTCAATGCGTCAATAATTATTTACCCGTAATTTCGATTTGGTGGTCATCATTCGGCTACAAATACACGTACGTACATCACATGATCAAAAAGGTTAGTAAACACCAATAAACACACTGCAATATATATTAGAACCTCCATATCTGAACACATTTGTTCTTAGGTCTGTTCGCTTTGCATGCATTTTTTTATTTGGAATTTTCAAATTCTGTCTTCAATGCTCACGCTCGAATATATATTTCTCATTTTAAATGCAATTTTTAAGGATTTTAAGCAATACAAACAGCCTCTTTCTATACAAGATCATTCTCCATAAATTAAATAGTGACTGCTTTTGAGAAATTTTATAATAAAAAAGTTTATTACACAGCCATAATTACGATAAAAATGATCATTAAACGCACATTTATCATTACAAGTATAGCATAACTTATGAATATATGCTTTATAGGAAAAAAAGAACTTCTATAATAAAATATTAATTTTTTATTAAAACTATTAATTTCTTTTTTTCATTTAGACGGGGCTAAAGAAAATAATTAAACTTCATAAAAAAATATAGAATATTTCATATACATTTACAAGTTCGAACTTTTTCAATTTAAACAAAAAACAATATATAATACATTCTTATGTATTTCTGTCACATTAAGGATCACTGTAACGAAAAAACGGTCAGCACATCTTTCGTTAAAAACATTTCTCTTTTACATTTAAATAAATGAAAAGTAAATTACAATTTCATCAATTTAATTATACATTCTTTAACTATTAAAAATTCTCATTATTTAAATATTACTAAGATCCACAGCTTCAATTTGCGAATTAAGATTTGTAATATTTTTATTACTTTCAGAGTTTCTTGGCTTTGCTTCTCTGGGAACATCCAACTTCGGCCAGGAACCAGGTTCGGCCTTCTTTAATTTAATTTCTACTTTAGTTGGCAGCATGTGTACACTACTTTGCTCGACATTAACAATCTAAAAGTAATGTAAAATAAATGTATATCATAAATATTGTTCGTCAATTACACATTCAAAATTAAAATATTAAAATTAATACATACTCCTTTCAATTCTATATCAAGATAATATCTCGAATTTTCTTCTACAAAGAATAAATCTACAGTCAGATGGATAGGATTTAATTTTATGACAGACTGACTGGGCAGATATTTTTTTGCAAATATAGAAACGACTACATATGATCCAGTTTGATGCCAGTCCATCCTGCATTGAGCCTTCTTTCCCATACTCTGAAATAAATTATGTGTCAATTATCAAAGACAAATATTAAATGACTATTAAATGAATTTAATATTAAATAATCGATATTAACTTATTTATAAATGGTATACCTTGGAAAACCATATATGTTTGCCTTGCGTACAACCTGGCTGATCCAGAAACAAGGAAAATTCCGTAGTTTTCTTTTTACAGCAAGACCAATATTTCAATCCTTCGTGAAAGATAGGTACACCAGGATGATAATTGCAAACCTCCTCGTCAGAGACAATCTCTGTGTAAGTCCCCTTGCAGGAATTGTTTTTACAAGTTTGTCCTATCTGTACAACACTATCAGTTGGTTTATCATTTTCTAAAGCTGTCAATCCTTTAATTTGTTCTAGTAAAATAGGAGATATCATCGGCGACAGTACGAGTTGAAATGCGTCAAACGGAGGTCTCTCCAGGGATGCTCCATTGCTTAGAGGTCTTGTGACAACCTGTATCACTTCGTCAACTTTACATTTATCGACTGGTGGTTTCTCTAACTGTGATGGTTTCACATTGGAGTGTTTCGACTTCGTGCAGCCCTTGATATTCAAGAATTCGGTGAAGTCTGTACACTTCTTGTTACAACAAGACCATCCTTTGTATGCGTCGTGAAACACTGGATGTCCCGGATGATGAAGGCAACTGTCTGTGAAAGAACCATAAGAGCATCTTTTTCGTAAATATTGTTAATTTGGTATTAAAAACGTAATAAAAAGTACATATACAACTTACCGTCTTTATTGTCGTTCGGATCATATTTCTTTCCACAGCCACGATGATAACAATGCAATAGATCTGTTTCATGTGACATTTTGAGAGGATCTCTTTGAGGTTTGAATATTTGTACTTATCTGTTCCACTAAGTTTTGGAAGAACAGCTCGATAAATCGTTTAACGCTTCCCTCTCTTTTCTCTCACAATATCTTTCCCGATTTTGTCAGACTTTGTTTCTGGCAGTTTCTAGAACGTTCCAAGCCAAATTAAAATAAAAACGTTCTGATTCTGAATCAACTCGCTACCTGATTTTACCTCATTTTTTTAGAGACACCCTATATGCATGTAAAGACGCATACGCATGTAGAGTTTTCCACTGGGAAAACTAGTGCAACATTGGTGCAATTGAGTGCAAATCGGTTTACATATTTTCAATGTTAATAAAATAATTTAATTCTTTTAACGTTATGAAGTACATTATCATGACAAAAAATATGTAATTTAAAAGTTAAATTATTTATTAACATTGAATATGTAAACCGATTTGCACTCAGTAGGTGCATCCAGAAACGCAGTGCGCTCAATGAGCTCTTGCATTTGATTGGCATATTCCATTAGAGCAAAAAATGCGTCGCATTTTGCCGCGTGGTAAGCATTTCCGCGTCCAGTGTGCAGGAGCCATAAGTCCGGATCTACAATAGGTGTTTTAAGACTTAAGCCGTAAGAAATTGACCAATTACAGTCGAATTCGAGGGGAATAATCGACTGTGATTCGCCCATTTCTTATGGCTTAAGGCTTAAAACCCTATTGTAGATCTGGGGTAACGGAATATGTCAATGGTCGCATTCAGCAGACTCGACTGTTGCGGAGCAAATTAGTGAGCTCTCGCTACTATTGGATGATCTAAAAGAATACACCAATAGCAGCGAGCGCTCACGGATCCGCTCCACAATAGTTGAGTCTGCTGAACGCGACTAAGGCCGGAATCAGACTACGCATTGAAGATTAAGGTTGAAGATTGAAGATTGAAATTTGACCAATAAGGACAAAGAAATTTTAGCTCCTTTCATTTCGATTGGTCAAATTTGAATTTTTCAATCTTCAATCTCAATCTTCAATGCATAGTCTGATTCCGGCCTAATAAGATGCAAGCGCTCACTGAGCGCTCAGTGAGCTCTTGCATCTGATTGGCATATTCTAAAATTGGCATTTTATATCATCCAATAGCAGCGAGTGCTCACAGATCCGAGAGAACTCTAGCATGGAGGATTTTAGTTCGCGGTTTTTCGAGCCAGATTGCGCTGAAAATCGTTGTTTTTCCATATGTTTGATTTAAAGGGAAACCGCCGAAATCCGTTTAAATCCGTTATAGAAACGTCAATAAGACTGTTCTTTTTGGCTGAACTTGGTCTGAACTTTTGCACCAGTTCATCTTTGTTCCTCTTCTTTCCTCCTGGAAAGAAAAGAAAGAAAGATGAACTTATTTATTTATTAGTGCAAAGTTCAGCCAAAAAGAACAGTCCTAATAATTGTCAGGTGTCGGTGCTTCTCGTGGCCGCGTCTCAGACTCCAGACTGTAATCACTCACTAAAGAGTTGTCTCGAATATCAGTCAAAATGAAAAGAACGAAACCGAGAACTAGATGTACGTTGCCCAGGTAAGCGAGAAACGGATTTACTTAAAATCGCACATTTCGTTCTTGTTAAGAATCGTGTCTAGGGCCGCTTTCCGTTTCACGCATGATGTGCATAATGCATTATTTATCCTTATTTAACAATCGGTGAATAACAAAGGTAAAAGATGCATCATGCATGAAACGGAATGCAGCCTAATATTATAATAATTATCGATATATTCTATATTATTATTATTCTTCATTATGAGATAATGATTATTATAGGAGAAATTTAATTTTTTAGCAACTCAAAAAACATAGGGACACAGACTGAAAATTTTGATAGTCTTGTAGAGATTGCCAAGTTGGAAGAACAAGTAAAAGTAATGCAACTTGAGATTAATGTCTTAAGAAAACATATGGAAAACTTGAAGAAGCCCGATGATGTTGTACATCATAAGACTGTTCCTCTCACTTCATTGGCAATGGCCAAACTTAACTTGGAAAAATCTGGTTGTGGCTGTAAAGGAAATTGTTCATCACGGATTTGTGGTTGCGTAAAGAAGAACAACAAGTGTAACCTATCGTGTAAATGTGATGATAAAGCATGTCAAAATCAGGTAGATATATTAACAATAAAGGAAGAAAGTACCTTTAACTGTCTAATTGGATCTTAAGTGCTCTTGTATAATTCTATGTGAACTTATATATTACCTATGTAGTCATTTAAACTACTTGCAGAATTAATTTTTCTGTCTTGAAACCCAAATCAATTGAATTATAGTAGTAATATCATAAATTAAATTGCTTAGCAACTACTAATTTGATGTTCATAACATCTTTTAAAGATCTTAATAATGTTGGATGACATTAAAATCTATAAATAATTTTATTGCAAAAATATTACCTCCACTAGGAATCTAACCAAGATTCCTAGCATTCCATGTATCCTTAAGTCTTTAGATTACCGAGATCTTAATAATATTTTTTGCACTAACCAGTGTATTTAGAAACTTCTAATTTCAGGCGACATATATAAGCAAGATTAAACAAAGAGTTTCAAAGACCATACATTATCTACATTAATAACTTAAATTAAAAAAGTTAAACTTTGAAAAAACTAACTTTTTTTTAAAAGTCAAACAAGAAGTATGTAAGCCTACCGCTAGATATATTATGCAAAAATTATTTTTTATTAAATTATGAAATATATATATATAAATAAAATTATAAAATATATATTTTATAATTTTATAAAGAATAATTTTACATAATACATTCAGTGGTAGGGTACTTATGTGCTCCTTGTTTGACTCTTATTGTTTACATTTAAAGGCTTTGTTTGATATATTGTAACTTTTTTAAAATTTAACTTGAGAAGTTTTTATATGGAAATTTATTTTACAGAAATTGGATCAAAATCAAGAAGATAAAGAAAATATTAACGCAACTATTGTAACTCCTAAGAATAGAAACAGGAAGAAAAATGAAACTACAAAGAAACTCAATAGGCATCTGTTTAGTCCAGATATGGGAGAGCTCTCCAAAGTTTTTGAAAATATTCAATTTAGTGGTATCGAATTTAGTTCTAATGAGAAGAATATGGTTGTCACAAACTCACAAACAGATTCACATAGTGTCAACAATGTAGAACTTAAGGAAAAAGAGAAGAAGAAAGAAGAAAACTTTGATCCAATGAAACCGAGACATCAATTATCACGAACACCACCAAAAAAGCTTGAGAAATCATTGGAGATTGAAATTCCAATTCAGCCTCAATTACATTCTAAACGAACTCTAGAAGTAATATCTTCCCGTAGATACCAAGGTATATTGATATTTTTAATTAAATTAATAAAATTGCACTGTTTACAAAACAATACTTTATACATATATAAATTTAGAATTTTTTAATTTGTCATTCTTTCGTTGAGTTTCTCTAATCTTGATAGTTATTGTATATTATATTTGTTAATTTTTAATGATTAGAATTAATAACTGATCATATATATGGTTAAGATTCTGTTAAGGTAAAATCTACTTTAAATTAAGAAGAAAGAAATCAATTAAGGAACAAACTATAATTATAAGGAATAAACTGTAATTAATTATATCTTTAAGTATGAAAGGAATATAATTTCTTACTATTTCTTTCATACTTAGTTACTTATAATGCAAAAAGTATTAACAAACTTTAATATAGAATAATTATTGTATCAATTGTTAATCATTAGTTAAGAGAAGTTATGATAGAAACGATAAAAACAATTAGTATATTTTTAAATATAACTTAAAAATTATTCTATAAACTATATATTATGCACAATGGATTTCAGATACTAAAGAAGAAAGAGTTGATTGGGAAGAACACACTGCACAATTAATTCCTTGCAAAAAATGCAAAAGGACTTTCATGCCTAATCGGATCCAGAAACATGAAACTTGCTGTCTAGGATCTAAATAATGAAGGATTTAAATATTGAAAGGATCTAAATATTGAAAAAGCAAACACTGTCTACTACTTGTTTAACTTTACATGCTTCTATGTGACTTCTCTATCTTTTAATTTTATCTTGAAGACAAGAATATATATATAATAACGTTAATATTAGTATATAATTAATTATTTTAAATGTAATATTATTTTAAAATGTATCTAAGAGATATAAACTGTTATAAAGTAATCATTTTTCGTAATTATATTCTTATTCTTTGTACATAAATCAAATAATAGTCTCATGCAGAATCAATCATGTTTTTAATTGTAAGACATTAAATATATAAAAAAATATATGTGAATAGTTTGGCAATATTAAAATAACATTTTATAGAAATATGTACACTTTCAAATATATACAGTATCATATGTTGTAGATAAATGTAGTTACTTACAGGCAAAAACATTATAATAATGAACGTAACAATAGTCCCGAATTCAACAATAAATTTACAATTAAATAGGAGTCAACGCGATAAATAATGCGCAATTTTTCTATGTAATAAAAAAATTAAATTCGCATGTATTAACTAACTAAACGACATAAAAACTGCAGCTTTCAAGCTGCTTCAATTATTACACAAGTTTATTTATAATTTACAAGTTTATCTTTATTTATAATGCCATAATTTTTGTTAATATTAAAATAAAACAAAAATGAGGAATGTCGATACTTATTTAAATTTAAGCGCGTCTTGAACTCAAAATGGCGATAGTTGTATATTTTGGGGCAATTTTAAGCGATTTTTGGCGTGCTGGTATAGCAATCAAAAGCAACCGCGGTCGGGGCTATCTTTGTCTTCTGATCCCTGAAAACGAAGATAGCCTTAGGGCCACTGTCACCAAGCTCAGTTGATCTAACTAGGGCAATTAGTCCATCGGAATTGACCAATCGCATTTGTCATTTTGTTTGAAGAATTGACAGATTGGTCAATTCCGATGGATTAATTGGCCCAGTTAAGTTAATTGAGCTTGGTGACAGTTGCTGGATTCACACTGCATCCGATTTTCGTCGTACGACGCTTTGCATCCAATCAGAAAACAGGATTGCGATAATACGAAGCAAAATTCATCGGAATCCTGTTTTCTGATTGGTTGCAGAGTGTCGTACGACGAAAATCGGATGCAGTGTGAATCCAACATAAGCATTTCCGCGTCCAGTGTGCAGGAGTCATAAGGCCGGAATCAGACTACGCATTGAAGATTGAGATTGAAGATTGAAAAATTCAAATTTGACCAATCAAAACGAAAAGAGCTAAAATTTCTTTGTCCTTATTGGTCAAATTTCAATCTTCAATCTTCAACCTCAATCCTTAATGCGTAGTCTGATTTCGGCCTAAAGCGTGGTCTACAATAAGTTGCTAACACATCGTCGCCAATAGCAATGCTTCATGACAGCCAATCAGAAGCATCACTAGTTACTAGTGACGCTTCTGATTGGCTGTTGCGAAGTATTGCGACTGGCGACGGAGTGTTTGCAACTTATTGTAAACTACGCTTAAAGTCCATATCAGACTACCGACTCTGCAGGCCGACCCGACTGCCAACTCTGACTGCCGATCAATAATGGACCAATCACAATAAGACTGATTCAATGTGATTGGTCCATTATTGGTCAACAGCCAGAGTTGGCAGTCGAGTCGACTTGCAGAGTCGGTAGTCTGATACGGGCTTAAGACCATCTCGAATTTTGAGCACTGTCTATGGATTCCGCCCTCTGATTGGTTCATGCACTAGCTTAAGACCATCTCGAATCTTGAACACTGTCTATGGATTCCGCCCAAAGTACCGCGATGGGAAAATTGAAGTAACGTATCAATTGGAGCCAAAATGGCTTCGAGTGCAGATATTGCATTTAGTGTAATGTATTTATTAGCCTGTTCTTTTTAGCTGAACTTTTGCACCAGTTCGTCTTTCTTCCTTTTCTTTTCAGGAGGAAAGAAAAAGAAAAAAGATGAACTGGTGCAAAAGTTTAACCAAAAAGAACAGGCCTTATATATCAAGTGCAATCCAAAGTGTAATTCCGGATCTACAATAGGTGTTTTAAGCCTTAAGCCATAAGAATCAATTACAGTCGAATTCGAGGAGAATAATCGACTGTGATTCGCCCATTTCTTATAGCTTAAGGCTTAAAACCCTATTGTAGATAATCCGGGATAATCCTAATCTGATTACATTCACATATAAGTTTGAAATAACCGCGTCGTGGAGCCAAAATGGCGGTAGTAGTACTTTGTTAATCTAGTGATTTTAATTGATGACTTTGCAAGTGCGCCATCTTTGATCCCATTTAATTCAAACCAATTCAAACTGAACCTTTGTGGCACTTCGCATTTTGCGGTAGCTTAATAATTGAGTGGATTCTTGGCCCAGTTGGATCTTTTTCTATATAATACTTTAAGACGCATAGTATTGGGCTTTACTTAGAAGGCCGAAACTCATAAAGTTGAAAAAGAACCTTTGCGATACGGTGTAAGTTGGATATCTATTCGAGGAAAACAAAGAAGAACAAGATAATCATTGTAAAATGGATCATTTAAATAAAATTTTGCAACCACACGTTCGAGCCAGTAAAATTAGATTGTCGTATGTGGATGAATTATTTCCGGATCTCAAAGATAATCCATACATTATCCTTCACAAAAATGTGAGTATCATGTAAAACCGCAATTTCCTCTCATAATCTCGCTTAATGACATAATGGCCTGCTTCAGGTTCCTGGCATACGGCATCTCTCGGACCATGAAAAGAACGAAAAAAGCTTCAACGAGTACTCGATGAGTAATGAAATGTTTCTCTAATTATAAGAGTTATTTGCACTCTATCAGAAACATATAAAATCCGAAATGTTCTTTAGGACATGATGTCAGTGGTTCGCCTTTGGAGTATTCATTTGATAACTGCGAATTCGATGACACTGTTGTTATAACAAGACAGAATTGGCGGAAAGAAGAAGAGTCCTATTTGCCATTGAATAGAATGGATGCAAGGTACGTACAGATTCAATGAGATTAATATATATATATATATAATAAATATTGAATAGAATTATTGAAAGATATTTATAATATACATCAAAAGATACACTTTTTCCAGTAATGCAGTGAATAAATGTCTTGAACATCTTGATACTGATACTTTGCCAATATTAGCTCTCTGCGATGGAAAAGATCCTAAGCAGAGCAAGCTTATTGGTACTATTGTTTCCCAAGATTGGTTCACCACTCTGGAAGCTGTTTCTACTGGTACGACAAATCTGGCTACAATAAGAAACAAATGTCACAAAGTCGTACAGGAACATCTTAAACATCCGTTTACACAAGAACATAATGTATGTAATATATAAGATTTTAATTGTTTTAACATTAGAAACAATTAGAGATTGATTTTTTTTATACATATGTAGATTAAAATATCTGTGTTCAGTGCTCTTGACTTGTTTGGAATAAAACAAGAAATGATCGATTGGGAGAAAACTGCCAAAAGTGATTTTGAAGGAAACATTAATATTGAAATGCATTCAAGTAGCTTAGATTCAAGACCATCAAAAATTACTTTGGTATGTGAATATAAAAGATTGAGAACGTTTTATATATATATATATATTGTATTTGTACAAATATTTTGTAGGTAGCTCAAATAAATGCTGAATGGAAGGATAGTCTATTAAAAGAACTGAGAGATCAGTTATTTTTATTAAGCCAGTATTTATCAATGATAGATGAGTGTAAGAAAAATATTGGACTACAAAACTCAATAATATTCACATCATATTCAGAGGTAAACAAATTTCTGCATATCTCTTTAAAAACATATTTTTACCATTATTTTTCCTATCTCTGATTATGTGTGTAAATATTTTAGGAACATGACATCATAAACGAAAAATTACATCTTTTACTGAATGGAGATTTCAATTTTCGGAAATCTGATAATAGCAATGTTAAGGAAAGCAATCACATCAGCAAGGAAAATTTTGAAATTGATGCAAAGCTGCGGGAACGTGTACAAAATATTTTTTTGAGACATGATGTAGATTTCACCGATCTCTTGTGGGAAATACTTATAAGTAAGTTAGAAAATTTTTAAGTGTATTTGCTTATTATATATTATGTTAGCTAATTTTGTATTTTTCCATATGTAAAGAGGCTTCAACATATCCACAAATGATAAACTATATTGAAACAATTTTGAAGGAAATTATTGAACATAAATTTACACCACAGGTAATTAACAGAATACCTGTTCTTTTGTCTGGTTTATCTCAGTTATAAGTTTAAAAATTTAAGGGATTTGTATAAATATATTTTGACATGTTTTTTAGATCAATGACACAAATTTAACAAAATTTGTGAAATGCATTTCCAATCTGCATCATCAAGAAACAATATCTCATTTATTAGTGGGAAGTATACCATTAGAACTTGTTGTAGATATGGGATTTGAGAAGCTTATTCGAGATTACTTATATATCTTAAGAGGAGCGCAATTTATCGATCTACACGATATTCGACAAAAACTAAACAATATATCTTCCGGAATCTTCAACACAGAGAGTTACAGGTAATACAAATATAGAAAATTTTTGTAAATTGAACAGATCAGAATTAATTACGACTTTATTACTTGCAGGAATAAGTTGATTATGTTAGCGCAAATCCACATCTGTCTGGAATGTATGTTGCTTATTGAAGCACATCTGGAATGTCCAATTGAAAATTTACAAAGTTTGTTTGCTTACACATACAAAGAGCTCGTGTCTGAACAGTCTCCCTTACAGCATTATTCTGACCTTCGTAGTCGAATTTTCACTTTTACGGTGCCTCTACCCAATGCATTAGCTAATGAGTTAAATAAGATGTATGTAATGCTGACAGTATTATTGATATAAACATTTAAAAAATTTTATTTGTTTGTGAAATAATACAAACTAGTAAATGCTACAAAACACACCGTTCTTATTTCAGGAATCCCTCTGTATGGAGAGCTTCTGTTTCGTCTCATTCTGCCGCGTCGATGCTGACTACTACTACCTATTGCAACAAACTGCCTATTTTTCCAACAAATATATATTCTACTGGTAAAGCAAATAACTAAAAAAAAAGAAATTTGTGTTATATAACAAGACTAAATTCTTGTACTAATTTTATTCTACTTTTTTATGCAGACAATGTAGATGTACAGGAAGAAATAGTCTATGGTATAAGCACAATATCATCATCGGAAAAGTATAAGAAACTGTGAAGTGTAACGCTCTTGAACTTTAAGAAATGAATTAAAATTTTAGAATTGATGAAATTTTTTGAATAAACGGGACATGGTGCGTGATGTAATTGAGTGTTTAATTAATAATCGATAAAAGTTATAAAAGCAATCTCATAAATCTTCAAATACAGTTACATGTATTAGATATATAAATATAACTACATTTATGAGTGTTTTTTGTACTCTCAGTCATTGACAATGTACACTCGAGCATGCTATTAGCCATTCTCTGTGATTGACACAAATCTTATTAAATTACCGTATTGCGAAGTATACATATATATATAAATTTCATTTAAATGATTATTCTCAATGTACAAAAGTATATCGTATTAAAAATTCCTCATTCAATTCGAGATGAATTTTGTAATAGATATTAAAATGAGTTCGTCACACGCGATAAAAACTTTTTACAGAGTATATAAAAGTAATGCTACGAATTTTTATAATCCAATTTTCTTCAATATGCTTTGGCGGTTGTGAGATAAATATCATTTAAAAGCTTTTCTTTCTTCTGTGAGCCACTAAACAAAGCATTGGTTTTTCATAGTAAGTACACAGTATTAACAACGTATTCAGAAAATGCAGGTAAAGTGATTAAGGCATATCTTTTTTTTTAACTTTAATACTGAGATGTGTCTACGTCGTCCATCCCGGAGACACTGGCTTGTTCCAGCACTTCGAGTAACTTCTGCATTTCTATAGAATCAGATGAATTATCGAGCGTTCGTTCCAAAGCTCGCACGTACGACATACAAGTTCGTCCTTCATGATCCAAATTCTGCGGATTTGCTTTATGCTGCAAAGTTTGCGATAATATAGCACCGGGTAATGAGAAAATGCTTTAAATAAATGGAAAAGGAACACGCACCCATATTAAAAGTTGTGCCATTGCCAAATTCCCGGTTGCACAGGCCAGATGTAACGGCGTTCGCAGATCTTCCGTGCTGACCGAAATATTAATGTCTTCATAATTACAGCGAGCCAAACATAATGTAAACGCTCTCATGTCTCCCCTGTATATTCGAAGATAATAAGATCGCGAGACTACAGCAACACTTAATTGATATCCAGTTAGACAAAGACAAGATACTTTACCGGCAAACCGAATCGATGAGTAATTTTCCTAAAGAGATGTTTGGGTTGATCGGCGGCAGGAAGAGTTTATCTTCGTACTTCCATCTGATCCACTGCTCCTTTTCTTCCCTAGATGAATCTGAGACAGGCTTTTGCTTTCCGTTCAAACAATACTCCCAAATACTATTGGCTATATCGTTACCGAGGGCTAGCATGACGCTTAGGTGACCTGCGCTAAAGCCGTCGTTAAAGATGTATCATTAAATAATAGACACAAAACAAATACAAATGAACGCGTATTAGTAATATGAGTGAAATTTTGCATCATACTTACGACCAGTCATCCAAATCCAAAGACCGTACCTTAGATATGTGCGAACCTAAATTTCTGTGAATACCGGAGCATTCGATGCACATCAAAACGCCCAGATTAAGGCTGGCCCAATCGGGATCTGAAATAAAAATATGTAATCGTAGAGTATACACAAATTATTAATTGTGCGGTAATTAATAAAATAAAAATGCACTCACTCGGTGCACCACAGTCAACGCATGTATCATTCCCCGAAACTTTGTTCTTTATGCAATGCATCTTGAAAGCATCAGTTTCATTTTTCTTATCACCATCACTATTCTGTAAGCTCGATAGTATTTGCTGTTCTATAGCGGTAATCCAACTATCCCTCTCTTCGGCATTATTTGCTTCAAAGTGCCAAGTTTTATTCTCCAAGGAAATGATGGAAAATTCGAAACTATCTTCTAGAAAAAGAAAGGATGTGCATGTTAAAAATGGTAAAAATATTCTATAACCGTTAATATATGTGAAATCTGCAAAGTGCAATACCTTGAGCATTGTATGATTTGGAACCTTTTGGTGTTTTACCAGGTACTTTCACAGTAACGTATTGCAAAAGTATTTCTTTGCCATTAGTATCATTCATGTAATCCTAAAAATATTTCCTTATACCAAACATATCGTATAAATGCATAAAGTGATAAATTAGACTATTGCATAACTGATAATTACATGTAAGCTCGAATGATAAGTCAAACGTCCATCCTCTAATAACGTTACGTATTTCTTCTTCCATTCTTTCAATGACTTGCTACTTCGTTTGAATAAATAACCTTGTTTCACTGGTATTTCTCTACCAACACCCATTTCACCCATATATTTCTCTTTCTTGGAAGGTGTAAATATGTTCGATTTTCTTCTAAATTTTCTGAGAAACAAAATAATATTATAATATCGATGTAAAAATGAAGAAAGTATTTTTTTTTAAATATATATATTCAACCTGATAGTGGTTGGTGTCAAGATTGACGAACGCAGTTCTCCATGTTGATTCTGTACGTTATGAAAATTATCGTTCAGTAACGACGAATCGTTTGTCATAGAACTATTGTGAATGGATCGACAATCCTCATCTTTTTCTGAAACCTGTTGAGAAATTTATTTTAAACTTATATGATCTGTTTGATTTACTAGAGGATGTAACTGATAAACTGACTTACATTTACTTTCAATGAATTTGTGGTCTCTGTATCTTTGTTATGAAGTTGCACATTTTTAATAATAGCAGGGACTGCAAATTTAACTTCATTGTCCGTAGTATGTTGACACACGTCGCATGATAAATTCTTCATCGATATGTTCTGTATGATTTTTTGACACACTGAAATTTTTCCATTGTAAATACAAACGTTAGAACTAATTTAAAGAAACATGTTTATGTTTGAATTTATAACAAGTTTGTCAGTTTAATTCCTACGTAAACATCCTTACCATCTTGAAATACTCTCTCAACGTTTAAACCATAAATAGCACATGTTTCATAATAAGGACATCTTAAATCACAAGCCAGTTTCCGTGGTCTGACATCTTTTATGACACGAGGATTGCTGTCGTTAATCGAATCTGCAAAATCAATAAATCAATAATTTAGAAACATGAATGTGAGAAATAGTCAATAAAAAAAAGAATTGACAATTTATTATACGATTACAACATACCTTGTACGCCTACAAGTATTTTTGGTACTTCTGACATATTCCGGAAAGAACACATTCTATTGTAAAAACTGCAAACTATAGAGAAACTCTCTTCATTTTCTAAGCTGAATACAAGTAATAGAGCATCTATCCAAGCTGAAAACTTAAATGGACACATCCATTATTATTTGATATAATAATAGGCACTGACAAATAATATGACATATGAAACAAAGTGGTTTGATTGCATACTTGAGCCTCTGGCACGCCACCCTCGTCCCTTATCAAGAGAAGGTAACTCTGATCATTTATAAAGATTTCCTTTTTAAAGCGACCACCTTCTGGCGATTCTTCATGCATGAAGGACCCTGTAAGATACCTGTGAACCAGAGCTGACTTTCCTGAGTCTGAGGAACCAATGATCCCCAGATGCAATTCTGGAACATCTCTTGCCAATGTCCATTCATGGCTGTTGACGAAGGAATCTAAAGGAACATAAACTTACATTGATTGCGTTCAGCAAACTCAACTGTTGCAGAGCGGATCCGTGAACGCTTGCTGCTATTGGTGTATTCTTTTAGATCATCCAATAGCAACGAGCGCTCATGGATCTGTTGCTCTGCAACAGTTGAATCTGCTGAACACGACCATTGGCTGCATTCAGCAGAGAAAACTGATCAGTGAACACTATTCTTTAATACAATTGGTTGCATACAGCAAAGAAAACAGCTTTACAATTGTTCTAAAATTCTTTAATACAATATTGGTATTGCCCTTATTTTCTCATTGGATCTAAATGTATAAATCAATCATAGTAAATAATTTTACAACAGTTGCAAAGCAGCTTTTTCTATTCAATATAGCCATTGTTCCTTAGATACAGCAAATTAAAGACAAAAATAAATCATATTAAAGAATTACGCAGTGCTCACTGATTAGTTTTCTCTGTTGAATGCAGCTATTATTATATATGATACAAGCTTAATATAACTTATAACATTATACATAGTATTTAATCATACAAGATGTTATTATTATACATAAACATTGCAGACAGCATACATCATCTTCCTCTACTGAGATGTACATAATTATAAAGCATATACATGTAAAATATATACATAATTATAAAACATACCCTCTATTGCTACAACATGCTCGCGAATTTGTTTAGCGATGTGTGCGTCAGGCACAACCTCTATCAAATCATAAATGGCATATATCGACGGATGAACGCTTTCAAAACGTTGTATTTCCTGTCTGATAGCGAGAGAATGATCGTGTCCACTCTGGCCAGTTGTCATTTTTTTTCGACGTCCGATTTTCTTTGGCGTCGATCTATCACATTAACGGCATCGCTCCGAAGTGTATCGCGCGAGCATCACCGGGAGCAGGACGATTTTCGCGAAGCTTAAAGTTGCTGCTGGCTCATATGTCAAATCTCAGTATTTATAAACATTATCGGTCGGGATTGGCGACGTTGGTTATGTGACACATCCGCGATCGCGGAGAGAAACACGTAGTTCTCATGGAAGCTGTACTGCGTATTCTCACACTTTCAACAATATGGCTGATTTCTTACATATGCCATCTTCTGGCGTTCCTAAAACTCGCATATGGTGTTTGAAACAGGTCAATTTTGGTTGCGGTCCACTTGACGCTACAAACGCTTCGAAGCAATTGGGTGCGTTCAGCAGA